CAGGGTAACTCTCTAACTTTTTAAGAAACACCCAACTGTTTCCCAAAGTGGTGGCACTATCTTACTTTCCCACCAGCAGTGTAGGAGGGCTCTGATTTCTCCACATCCTTGTCAACACCTGCCTGTCCTTTTGATGAGAGCCATCCTAGTGGGTGTGAGGTGCTATCTCACTGTGGTTTTGATTTGCATTTCTCTGATGGCTAGTGATGTTAAGCACCTTTTCATGTGCTTTTTGGCCATTCGTGTTATCTCCTTTGGTGAAATACCTATTCAGACGTTTTGCCCATTTTTTAATTGTGTCATGTTCTTATTATTGAGTCACAAGAGTTCTTTTTATATTCTAAATACAAGTCTTTGTGGGGTGTTTTGTTTTGCTTTGTTTTTTGGTTATATGATTTGCAAACATTTTCTCCCAGTCTGTGGCTTAATTTTTTTGTTTTCTTGATGGTGTCTTTTGAAATGTAATAGTTTTTAATTTTGATAAAGTCCCAATCTATCAATTTTTTCCTTTATTGCTTATGTGTTGGGTATCTAAGAAATCATTATATCTAAGAAAAAAGCCTAAGATATTTTTATATCTAAGAAATTATTGCCTAACCCAAGGTCACAACTTTACTCCTCTATTTTCTATTCTATTTACTCCTCTATTTTCTATTTAATTGAATTTATTCTATTTCTATTCTATTTACTCTGTTTTCTTCAAAGAGCTTTATAGTTTTAACTCTTACATTTAGATCACTGATCATTTTGAGTTAATTTTTGTGTATCATGGGAAGAGTCCAAATGCATCCTTTTGCATGTAGACAGACAGTTGTCCCAGTGCTGTTTGTTGAAGAAACTATTCTCTCCAGTAAGTTCTCTGACACCTTTGTGAAAAATCATTTGACCATGATACAGTTTTTTCAGTGTCATTTGCATGAAGATGATAACCCCCTTCCATTTTAACAAAAGCATGTTCGCAACCACCTGGATGGCTTTTTCTCTGAAATACCTAGGTAGGTCAATTGGACATTTTTATTTTGAGTGGGTCATGGCTTTTTCTTATTTATTCGTAAGAACTCTTTATATATTGCAGAACCAAGGGAATAGTATGTGCAAATACTCAGTGTCGTGAAATAGCACAGTGTGCTCAAAAGGCATTAAGTATAGCTTGGCTCTGGGGGAAGATGCTGAAGATGTAGCTAGGCAGGAAGGCAGAAACCAGTTCTGATGCTAACCTGAGAAGCTTATGTAACCAAACCAAAGTGAGTTCGCTCCTTGGTGAGTCAGAAACTACACCAGGTTGAGCTGTCACACAAAGAAAACTTTTATTTGCAGTAAATAAGGTCACAGGGAATGGTTTCCAGAGGCATGACTCCCCGAGAGAGGGTGAATGGGTTCCTTTTGTTTAGGGTTAGGATGAATATTTAGATAGGGAAGCCTTTTTACCCTACGTAGAGGCAGGCATAAGGTGGCACATGCGCCTTAAGGAAACATGCCTATACATACGTTGTATGTTATGTAAACGAGGCTGGGGCTCCTCCTTGGACAGAGATTTTAAGTATTATAATGAGGTAAAGATACCAGGGTCCTTGGTGCATTTGCACAGGTGCGAGGGGGGGTTTAGCTCAAAAGGTCTGAGTTGTCTGGACCAGTGGGAGGTCTTATCAGCACAGCTGCCATCACCTGAGGCATTTGCCTGAGTTAAGAGGTAGAAAGAAAAGCTTAAGGGAAAAGGTAAGACGAAGGTTAGTGAAGGGCGCCTGGGTGGTTCAGTCGTTAAGCGTCTGCCTTCAGCTCAGGTCCTGATCCCAGAATCCTAGGATCGAGCCCCGTGTTGGGCTCCCTGATTGGCCAGGAGCCTGTTTCTCCCTCTTCCCACTCCCCCTGCTTGTGTTCCATCTCTCGCTGTCTCTCTCTCTGTGTGTCAAATAAATAAATAAAATCTTAAAAAAAAAAAAAAGGTTAGTGAGTACAAGCAGGTAGGCAGTCAAGGCCAGGTCTTGGGGTCTAGCTGGTGACACTTAGACTTTATCCTACAGGTCACTGGGAGCCATAGAAGGGTTTTAAGCAAGGGAGGGATGTAATTAAATCTGTATTGTTGAAAATTGCTTTAAATAAGAGACATAATGCATGGAGGGAAGGGCTACAAGGGTAAATTGAGGCCAGAACGAGCAAAGCCTTTGAATGTCCAGCTGAAGAGTGTCAGCTTGGTTTGGTAGGCAATGGGGAGCCACAGAACGTTCTGGGAGATACCTGGGGGCATGGAACCAGAGAGGCAGTGGGGATGGAGAGCTGCCTATGAGGGCGGAAAGGAGCAAGACTGAAGCTAGGGCTGATCTCTGGATGGGGTAAGAGGTTCGGTTTCCCAGCGTTAAGGCGTTCCCCCCACTGACATCTCAACCCCACGTGGGGGCCCAGGGCTGTGTCATCTGTCCCTCATCCGCAGAACTGACCTCCAACCCAGACAGATGGGATGTTGCCAGGGTTGACCCGGAGAGGAAATAGAACCGAGAGTTTCTGGACAGGGCACCGTGAGTGGGAGAAGGAAAAAGGAACAGCATATCAGCATGCCAGGAGGGGTCTTAGAAGTCACACAAGCCGCCATCCCCAGGGCAACTGACCCTTGGCCTCTGCTGCCACAGGTCCAAGGGTGAGGAGCCCCCCTACCTCCCTAGCAGCCATTCCATAGCTGGTTGGTTCATCCAGTGAGAAAGTTCTGGGGCTGGCATGGCATCAGAGGCATAAGGAGCCTTGGAACTCTTATCTCACGCTTCCTGTCCACTACATGGAGGGGATCTTGAGGCTCAGAGGGACACCATCCTGCACCAAGGTCACATAGGGAGTCAGCCCCAGCTTGTGTCAGAGAAGGCCCTAGAAACTCCCTGCCCAGTTTCACAAATGATTATTTTTTTAACGTACTTTTCAAAAATCAGTAGTACATGCATATATCACATAAAAAAATCCATTGCAACAGAACATTTCCGTGAAAAGCCAGTTTCCTTTCCACCCCAGCCCCAACTCTCTGTGCCATTCCTGAAGGCACCGCTGTTCCAGTTTCTTAAGCACCCTTGTCAGAGATAATATATGCATGTACCAGCATGTATAGGAGACCCCCGTCTTTTTTACATGAAAAGTAACACACCATACCCCATACCACACCCTGCTTTTCCCGCTTACCAGGACTGCCTCTGAGGTGGCTCATTATCATCCCAGTCCACCCCAGGACAAAGCCCCGGCTTATGTGTCTTCATGCCGTTTCTTGGTCCCCTTACTGCTGGACACCAGAGGTGCTTCTCCCTTTGCTTGCACAGAATACTGTTGGCTCTCCTTGTGTTTTTACATTTGCCTGCTGCGTAGCTTTGCCAGATCACCCTTCAAAAGTGCAGCACTACCTTGTCCCTCACCCGACAGTATTTGTGAGTGCATGCATTTCCCCCCACCCTCAATAGCAAAAGTATTACCAAACTGGTTCCTTTTTGCCAACTTGGTAAGGTTACAAAAAGTGATAGGCATGTTATATTTTTGATTTGTATTTCATTACAAGATGCATTTAATATGCATTTAATTACAAGTGCGATTAAATATCTTTCCGTGAACCGCTTGTTCATAGCCTTTGCTCTTTTTTTCTAATTGGTTCATCATCTTTTCCTATCGATTTGAAAGAGCTCTTTCTGTATGAGGAAAATTAACGTTCATCTCGTTTTCCTCAATTAACTTCTGGCATATGCGCTGCAGATGATTTTTTTTTTTATTTGCCATTTGCCTCTTTTAACTTTGTGGTATTTTTTATTCTATTCAGAAGTTTTAATTTTTACATAGTTAAGTTTATCAATATTTTCCTTCATGGTTTCTGGAAATAAAAATATACAGTGCACTTTACACAACCTTTTTACACCATATCATGGTTGATCTGCACAGCAGCCTCTGAAGGGAGACAGGGCGGGGCTTTTTATCATTAGTTTCATTTTACAGGTGAATTCAAGTGAGGCTCAGAGAGGTGATGAGACTCGCCCGGGCTGAACAGTCTCTAGAACCCTTGCTGTTCTCACTTCCCTTCACCTGCCTTACTCCTGGCCTTGATAACAAGAGGAAGAGCCTTCTCTAGTAGAACATTTTCAGTTATTAAAACCACAAGCATCTTTTCTTCCTTTTTAAAAATATTTTTGAAACTATAAAATGAACTCATAGCTCTTAAAAAGAAAACCTCCAACATACAAAAGAACATAACAGGAGGTTAGGGGTGGGGACTCATGATTTGCCCCAAAAGCCCACCCCCCCCAGAGTGACCGCTGTCAGGTTTGCTGTGAGATGGGGTGAAGAAGAGCCACCAGGAGCTGGACAGTTCCTTGTCTGTCTGTCACCAGTGCCTTGTATACTCCAGGAATGCCTTAGGTGCTCTATAAATGCTCCAAGACAAGAGACTGGGGTGGTCAGGCCCCCCATTTAAACTGCAGCTGCATAGGCCTGCATTCAGACACTTCGCAGTTGTGTGAGCCTGGAAAGGTGAACTACCCTCTCTCTGTGCTACGGTGTCCTTGTCCGTAAAACTGGGGTAGTAGTTTCTACCACAAGGAAATGAAATAAGTCTCATAAAGTGCTGAACCTCTGATCTGTCTGTTCCTTCCTGAATCTACTGCCTGCTACTCCCACCGGGCCCCCCGATATCCAGGGTCATGAGATATCAGAGCTGAAAATCAGGCTCCTTCTCTCCCAGAAACCCAGAGAGGGGACGTGCCTTGCCCAAGGTCACACAGCCTGTGGGTGGCAGGGCGGGCAGAGACTCCCGTCTCCTGACTCATTACATCACTAAGCCCGCTTCCTCATCCTCACAGCTGGACCTCGGCAGACGTGTCCCTCTCGCCTACTGTCTCGCCCCTTTTGGCCACCAGGGGGCGCTGCCTAAAACACAGCCCAGACCGCTGACGCCCTTGCTCCAAACTGGTCCGGGGCTCCCCGAGCCTAGGAAAGGAAGACGCCTTTTTTTTTTTTTTTTTTTTTTTTTTTGTCTGGTGTTCAAGGCTCTCAGAACCCTTGCTTTCTTTCCCCTACACACTGGGCAATGCGCATCCCCATCCTTGCAGTTTCCTTAAGCACACTCCTCCCAGAGCACCCGCCCCCTTCCTGCCTCTTTCAGGCCCAGCCTCTCCTATTTATGCCACTTCTTCCCCACGGATTGGGTCCCTCTCTCAGACTGTGCCACCCCATTCTCTGTGACAGTCGCCACACCACCGAGGCCCATCCCCAGCATTCAGTTGGTGCTGAGTCAATGTTTGCTGTGGCATAAGGCCTGCAGCTGGCAGGCCGAGATCCTCCTCCCAAACTGCGAGGAGCGCGGGTCCTGGAGGGTCCTCAGGGGACGTGGTGCCAGGGTGGGTGTGAGCAGCCCCCACCCGCTGTGCAACTCTGGACCAGTGGCTGCCCCTCTCTGGGCCTCAGTTTTTTCATCTGTGAACTGGGGAGGCGGGGGGGGGGGGCTGGGCATTGCCTGCCTGCCTGCAGGGGCTGCAGTGCTCCGTGGGAGGGGCCAAGGGACTTGGCTTGAGGCCACGGTTACTAGGTGTTTATTTAGGGGTCTTGCGGAGTCTGTGGGAAACGCCGGGACCACAGTGCCCCCTCCAACGCGCCTGCACTGTGTGTATCCCGCTCCCGGGCCCATCGGCTGCAGAGGCCGCACCGACCCGAGCGCCCTCACCTCGTCCCGGCTCGGGTGACGTCGGCGGCCGGGGCGGCACCGGTCCCCCCCACCACCCCCCACACACACACCTTTCAAAGGGGGGAAACTGAGGCCGGGCGCGGAGAGGCCGCAGCCAAGGTCACGGCGCGCGGTGGCGGCGTGGGCAGGAGGGCCGGCAGCGCTCGGGCTCCAGCTCGGGCTCGGGCTGCCGACGCCCCCGGGCAAACCGCCCCCCCTCCCGGCGCCCGGCCGGCCCGACGCGCTGGGGCCGCGCCCGCGCTCCGCTCCCGCCGCGGGAACGGCGCGCGCTCGGCTGCTGCAGGCGGACCCGCGAGGTAGGAGGCGGGCCGGCGGGGGACGCGCGCGGCGGGTGCGGTGCGGTGCGGGTTTAGCCCCGGGCTGGGGGCGGCGGGGGCTGTGGTTCGGCGTCCCCTCTGCGGAAAGGCCCGGGCAGCAGCTCCGCCCCCGGGGCCGCGGCTACACGGACGCGCGAGCAGCTCTTGGGAACCGGGGGGAGGGAGGGGTGATCGCAGGCGGCTTTGCGGAGCCCGGCCGGGGAGGTGGTTCCGAGGCCGCAGTGGCGGGGATGACACTGGTCTCCCGGTTGTAGAGTTGGGGGATCAGAGGCCACCGGGCTCTCGGCTTTGGGAGCCGGGGTTACGCGGGCGGCTCGGAGGGCCTGGGGTGCGTCAACGCCAGTCTTTCTGAGCGGGGTCTCTGCGGGTGTCGCTCTCCGGGACTCAAGCGGTGAGGATGCAGGAGATTCGGCCTCCGCGGCTATGCGGAGCGTTTATCCGAAACCTTGTGAATGCTAAAGGCGCGATCTTGGGGCGGGGGGAGGGGAGCTCAGGGTGCTCCATTTACGCGTCTATGCAGTTGGCTGTCTCCCCGGGGCGGGGAAACGTGAATCCAGGCCCCGAGGGTCGCCAAGCGAAGCTGTACCCCCCTCCCCCGGCCGCACTCCCTCCCTTTGCTCCCTGCTCCTCCCTGCTCCTGCCTCCGGGTCGGAGAAACCCCGCCACCGCGTCCAGGGTCCAGAGCCTGCGGGCGGGAGGTTGAGGCATCTCAGGAATTCGCTGGGAGCCAGATAGACGCGTCTAGGGAGGGAGTGAGGAGTTTTGGCTGGACTGGAGGGGCTGGCTCCGAATCCAGCCCTGCCCCTGGCCCCCTGTGTGACCTTGGGCAACCCCTCCTGCAGCCACCACGTGGGCAAGAGGCTGGTTTTTATTCCAAGGGGGCGGTATAGGTGACGGCGCTTGAGGACAGGAGGCAGCAGCGGTCTGAGAACTGACCGGGTTGTCTCAGGTGTCAGGACGCCCTGTCCCACCTGCCAGCCTCTACTGGGACCCTCCTGGGCCAGGGGGCTCCCGCGGTGGGAAATCTCTGCCCTGTCCAGAAGGGCTGCCCTTGGGCAGCATAGGGGGCAGGGACAGCCAGCAGAGGTGAGTCCAGGCTGTCCCCACCCCCACCCCAGTCATGGGGAAACCCCCCTCCCATGTTTCTGCCAGGCAGTTGCCGCTTTAAATTGCCAAGCTCTCAACTGTCACAGCCTATCTGTTCCTGGAGCAAACGGAGCAGAAAGATGGCGGTGGGTGTCCCCTCCCCCGGGCCTATCCACAAGATTAGGCTCATGGGGACAGCAGTCTGCTCTGCCTGGTCAGCTCTGTACATTTTGCTGTGAGCATACTCTATGATGGGGTGGGGGGCAGGGAGAGCAGCATTTGTTCTGCACTGGGAGCAGGAGTCTGGTTGTGCACTTTGACAAGCCGCTGCTCCACTCTGTGGTCAGTGCCCACGAGACAACCCACATGCTGGCCTGTGCAGCCCCCCTCGGAGCTGCTCTGAACTGAGGTGATACAGGAGTGCCCCTCTAGTCACTCTCCTCGGTCCCCAGCATTATGCCTGGCTCCTCCCTTGGGCTGGGAAGATGGCCACGCTCCTGAACCCATGTGTGGGTTTGAAAGGAAAGAAGAGAAACAGCCCCATCCCCCTCTGACCCCCACCCCCACCTCCAGGTAGGAAAAGATGAGCTAAGGGGTGCCCCAGGTGCCACAATGCCCACAGCCTAACCACTGAGCGTGAGAGCTGGAGGGAGCATCCTAGGGCCAGTCCTTTGTTGGAGCTGGAGAAACTGAGGCCAGAGAGAGGCAGGAACGTGTTCAAGGTCACACCGCATCCCACTGTCTCCAGCTCTCCAGCAATCCAGCCATCCTTGGGGAGCTGCTGCCTAGGGAACACTCAGAGGACTCGGTGTTCCCACAGAGGTCCCTGCAGGGGAGGGACAAGGAAGGGAACTGGTGCCTTCCTCTGCAGGGGACTCTGGCTCCTGCACAGTTTGCAAACATTAAATAATCTTCGGTCTCATGACCAGAGTGGCCATCCTCTGTCAAGGCGGCTCTGAAAGGGCCAGTGGCTGTCTGCCCTTCCAGCTGCAGCTCTGACCAGCCTGCCCTCTCCCACCCACCCCATACCTGCCCTCCACAGCAGCCCCCCTGCTATTAGTCATGCCCCTTCCCCATTGTGCAGAGGGGAGTGCCAAGGCCAAGCCAGAACTTGTGACCCTTTGTTTCTTCAGCTTTCTTCCCCACCAGTGTTCTGACGACTGGGATGAGGAGTCAACTAGCCTAAGCCAGCGCTCTCACCAGTGTATGGTCTCATCACTCCCGGCTCTCGTGTTTCGGAATCAGGGGGTAGGGAATGGGATTGTTTGTTCCTATCAGGAAAGTGTGTTTTGCATAAAAGAGGCTGGGCTAAGGCCCATCGTGTTGGTGAGGCCCATGTGGGCTGGGGTTCCCCACACTCAGACCTGGTTGTTGCCACAGTGAAGTGTAACTCAAACCTGCTTTGGGGAGCAGCATCTTCTAGTGAACCCTGCCTTCCCTGTGGACCCAGCCTTGCCCTGTCTTAGCTCCCGCAGGAGTGCACCCCCCACCCTGCCACCTAGAAAGCTCTGTTCATCCGTACTCCTGTCGATGTCACCACTGCAGCAAAGCCTGCCCAGAGTCCCTGTGCCTCCCTCTCCGGGGAGTGCGCAGGGGCATAGATGAGTCACCAGGCTGCAGGAATCCCCTCCTGCTCCCAGGGCCATTCCGTTGGGCTACCACAGCACGTGCCAACTTGGGGAGGCAGGACACAGGCAGCCAAGTTCTCAGTGACTCTTCGAAGAAATTCTGATCCAGCATGATTGCAATTCAAACCCAGCAAACATTTTTTAAGCATCTGCTCCTTGCCAGCCCTGTCATAGTGGCTCTCACATATATTATCCCATTTCATCTGCAAAACCACAGACCCATCCATTAATGTGTAATGAAGATTCTAGAAGCGTAATATTAAAACAATGATGTCAACCCCACAGGCCAGCAGGAACGATTGGGAATGCTGTACCCTCCCACCTACCACCGATGGCAATCCTTTCGGTTCCTTGGGCCCATAGCCTCACAGTTTGCCAGTTTTCATGCCCAGAACCTCTCAGGGAGGCCTCCCTCCCAGAGGGGTTCTCAAGTGAGCACGGAGCCTGGGCTGACCCACATAAATCCACGTGCCATATGTGATGGGGGTATAATGGTTTGGGCTTCCCATGCTGCCTCTCTGGAAGGTAATCCTAGCCTGTGCTGTGTCCCATTCCTTTGGGATGACGCAATCACTCACGACTGAATTCCCCAAGGGCAGAAAGAACAGCGGCTGAGGCACCTCATTGGCCCTAGAGCCAGGAGGCTGATAGAAGTTTTCCTTGTGCTCAACTGAGCTGGATCCAAACAAGAAACAAGCTGCCTTAGGATGTAGTGAGTTCCCTTCACTGGAGGTATGCAAACTGAGGCTGGACAGAGGATTTATTATGTATCAGTCGGTTTAGGTGCCCCAGAGACACAGACGTGTCCCTCTCTCCTGACTGTTGTAGCTCCAGCACTCCCAGAGCCACAGATTTTTGTTTGTTTGTTTTAATTATCATCTGAGGGCTTGGTGAAAGCTATCAGGATGGTAATATAGGTTTGTAAAAATGCTAAGTGCCCAGGTGTTTTAATAAAACCAGTTGCCTGAGGGTATTCTGGGAATGTTTCATTATTCAGCTCATCCAGATGCAGAACTAGGACCAGCTTTTGGACTTAGCCAGGGGGCCTGAGGATTTGGTATGAAGTGAAACAATACGGAAATTGAGTGTCTTATGGCAAATCCATGAGCTGCACTGGGGTCACTGTTGGTCACACTACCTTGGGAAGCTGAAGGCAGAGAGCTGGACTCCCTGTTACTTTGGACAAGTCCCTTCCCCTCCCTGGGCCAAAGGAGTTCGGAAGAGACCAGAAATCACTTTGGAAGCTGTACCTGGCACCTAAAAGTGGTCGGGGTGGGGGGTGGGCAGGAGGGGCTGAAGCACGCTGATCCTGATACGGGGATCCTTTCGTGGACCGGCTGAGGACCAGCCTGCTTCTGGGGCTGGGTTCAAACACGAGCTGTCCACTTCCTAGCTCCGTGACCTGGGACAAGTCACTAGGCCTCCCTGAGCCTGTTTCCTCCTCCTGAAGATGGGAGTGGTGATGGTGCCAGCCACCTGAGGCAGTTAGGAAAGTAACTCTGAGAAAGTGTGTCAGTGTCATACAGTTATTTTTCATTTTCTCCTTTGGGGCTATCACAGGAGCCGCTAAGTGTTTCTGGGGCCTCCAAGTCCAAATAGAAATGTCAGCTCCATTCATTTATTCATTCAACAAATATGTATGCAACACCTGTTTTACCACAGGAGCAAAACAGACAAAAAGCCCTTCTCTCCAGGAGCTT